GCTGAAAAGGAAACAAAAACATCTCCAGGTTTAAAACCATGGCTTTCACTTCCCTGCCGATAAGAATTGGGCTGCAAGCGGGGCTTCTAGTTAGCCTGGGCCCCACTGGCCCATGTGTTAATCTGCCTATGCTGGTATGGCTTTCCACCTGTGCTGCCATCGAACAACCAGAGCATCTATCGCATCAAAAGAGCAGAAACATTTGTACGCCAAAGCTCATGCATCTTATCCTGAATGGTGGTAGGATAAATCCTCAGAACATAACAATGACTTTTTACCCATGCAAGTTCATTGTCTTTGACTGGAAGAAGTTGGGAAAAGGATCTAATCAGATATGCTCTACCTGCCAGGCAGGTGTAATGTGTAAAACTTGAATAGTCTGCTTGGACCTCTTCAGCCTCCGCAAGAGAAGGTTGAGAGGTGACTTTGTGGCTGCCTACAAATTCATCATGGGGGCGCAGAAGGGAATTGTTGAGGCTCTACTCACCAAGGCGCCCCTGGGAGTTACAAGAGATAATGGCCATATGCTAGCAGAGAGCAGATTTAGACTGGACATTAGGAAGAACTTCTTCACAGTTAGAGTGGCCAAGGTCTGGAATGGGCTCCCAAGGGAGGTGGTGCTCTCCCCTACCCTGGGGGTCTTCAAGAGGAGGTTAGATAGGCATCTAGCTGGGGTCATCTGAACTGAGCACACTAGGGGGTCGGACTCGATGATCTATTGAGGTCCCTTCCGACCCTAACATCTATGAATCTATGAAAACCTCTTGTTCTCATGCTGATGGGCAAGGCAGGGGGGTTACTCTAAATACAGCCAACACATGGCAACCATCCTCTTTCTTTTTTGTTAGGGCTTTGTACAAGGTGTCAGCAATGCTGACGAAGATCATAGTCTTTTCTGCCTTGCTGGTTTTGCTGATGGCTGCTCTGATTCAAGCACAAGGTAACCTGAGCACACTAGCTTTCCTGGCATCACACAGGAAGAAGTTTGGCCTATTCTCCTTTCTCCAGTTGAAGACTCTGGCAATTGTCTCCTCCAGCAAATCTGGCTATTGCAATACTGTTGTTATCTGTTAATGTAATGAGAGTGTTCTCACTGGTATGCAAGAATCAGAGACAAAGGCATAGCTCTTCTCTATTATCCTAAATACACATGGATTACAGATCATGATTTGGGGATAATTCTGGAGTGGGTTGTTTTTTTAAATAAGCTGCTGTTTTAAATCTCCTCTTGGTGCACGTCCCCAAATGTGTCTGGTTCTGTTCTGCTTCCCATAAGTTCTGATGAACCTCAGCAACCTTTTGCCTGTGATTATACTATACACAAATTAGGAACCACAATGAGCTGCTTTTATTTTTACACAGGAGTTAAGTGAGGTGGGTGCATCTGTCCTTTTCTATTTTCCTGTCTATTTTATTTCCCCTTCAAAAACAAACTAATTATAATAAAGTGGCCCAGGACTTATCAGGTTTGAGATACATAAATAAGATGATTCTTATTTATTGCACCAAAACTTGGATCATGCTGGTTGTCACTAATGTTTACCTTAGCCTCATGTCCTTGCTTTTCAGTCTCCCAAGGAATTTTTTCTAATAAGAGAAATGATTTCTTCTGCCCTAGTAAAAGAAAATATTCCACAGCTCTGGTTTCTGAGCTCCGAGTTGGGGTTAGACCAAAAGCTAAGTTAAATGGGAGTATAGCACAGCTCATGCATATCCTTCACTGACCCCATGGGACGAAGAGGTACACAGATCACGTAATATAAGGATACAGTTACAGAGGCTGAATTTGTATCAGATTATTTATGTATTTATTATGCATCTTGTCTCTCTTTTTGTTTTTCCAGAGGAATCTGGGGCCTTTCAGTCTGGGGCATTAAGTGGGGAGCTCAGTGGAGAAGCAAGTGGTGACCCCAGCGGAGAATCTAGTGGACAAACACACAGGGAGGTCAGCTGGTATCTCAACAGTGAATCAAATGGTGAGTTAATTCTACTTTCTTTTACCTCATTATTGTCCTCACTGGGTGCGTCTACACATGTTCTTAATGCACATTAATCTATTTTAATGTGCATTAAAGTGTCACTAAAAAACTGTGGGCACTTGTACACATGGTTGTGCCACAGCGCTGGGCACTTTTAAAAGCAATCGGTGCTGTGTGCATGCAGTTGTATAAGTGGTGAAATGCACGTCAGCGCTGAGAAAATGGCAGTGGCGCACTTTTGAACTAGAACACATTGGAGATGTTTTAGTTCAAAAGTGCACCGCCACCATTTTCTCTGTACTGACACATGTTTTGCAGCTTATACAACTGCACATGAAGCAACACAGTGTGCATCAGCTTGTGTGCGGAGCAGACTCACTTAATTGAGTCTGCTCCAACCCGCTGGATCTATGGCACGTTGGAGTCTGAAAAGGTATGTGAATAAATGCCCAATGTTATTTAGTTAATGCATATTAAAATGGGCTAATGCACGTTAAGAGTCACTTAAAAATTGTGCTCTTTAGTTAATGCGCATTGAGACAGGCTAATGCACATTTTCCTTGTTCCTCACAATGGAGATACTAGATTTAATGAGTATTATCTAAAGTGTATTAATGCATGTGTAGACATGCCTATTGTTCTTGTACCTGCCAAGAGTGCCCCTGAATTCTGGTCCCTGAATATTTCACATAGCACTGAATTTCAGGCTTTTACTCACCCACAACCTGATCTGGTCAGCAAAAGACAGGAGGTGCTCAATGAGCATTAAAGCTCTCTTTTTATATGTGATATACCCTGAGACTTGATGAGTGTGTTAGGCAGTGACAGTTAGGAATGAGAACTTCCCTTTTGTGGGAAATTCAGTTACAAAATCTGTATTCCATCCAAATCAAAATGAAACAACAAATTTCAACATTTCCTGTGGGGGAAACGGTATTTGAAAACTATATCATGCAGTAAAATAAATTAAAATAAAGTGTAAAACAAAAGTTATTTTGCAAAGAAAATTATAATCATTCCATTTTGCTATATTGAGATGGAATGCTTTGTTTTAAAATGAAACTTTGTCCTAATTGACATTCCCTGTGAAATGTTTTTTTTTTAAACTAACAAATCAGCCTTGTTTGACAGAATTTTTTTCTGTCAGAAAATTTCCAGCCAGATCTAGTTGAAGGGACTCCCCACTAGGAGTTAAGATTTTATCAGAATAACCACATGGCTACAGCTTCAGCAAATATGCTTCCAGAACAGGGACTTTGTCTTTGTTTATTGTAGATGAACCTGGTTTCCCTGAGTAAAGCAGTGGCAATGGACCAGAAACCAGTAAGTGGATTCTTGCTCTTTCTATTTTCTCATTTCGCTTCTCCAAAAAGATCAGTCCTGCCATTTCTACCCTCAGTGTTTGGCTCCTGTCCTGCACCTTACTGACACCTTGGGTCTGTCTGCATGAGAGACTTCACTGCACATTGGACTAATCTAATGCACAGGAAAGTGACACCTTCTGCACACATGCAGCAATTACTGTGCAGTAGATTAGACTAATGTGCCATTTCCTAGTATCTGTATACAGGTACTAGAAATCAGCACATTAAACTAATGTGCTGAAGTGCATGTGTAGATGCTGACGGTGACCAATTTGCTCCTGGTCAACCTAGGCCAGTGGTTCCCAATTTGAAGTATGGGTACCACTAGTGGTGCACAGACAACCTATCAGTGGTACACGTTAACAGATTTATTACAATTATTTTATGACAAAAATTAGCTGGTGGTACTTAAGGTTGAACTGAAAAATTAAGGTTGTATCATTTTAACTTAGTGGTGCACAATCTGTCAGAGTTTGGGAAATGCTGGCCTAGGAAGTAAGGTGCCACAAGGGGCAGGGAGAGCTGTCCTGGCTCAGCAGGACGCTGCCTCCCAGTCGTGTGGAGATCAGGACACATCCCGATTTGCTCCTGACAGGTGCACATTCAGATGTGTGTGGTGCTGCAGTTTAATGTGCCTGAATTTTCTGTGCAGAAAATTTAGGTGCATTAATTACATATGTAGACATGCCCTTGAAGGCTAAAGAGCCCAGGGTAAACAGTTACTGAGGGTGGTCTCATTTCCTGGCTTCAGAGTGTGGGGATTTAGTACTAGAGAAGAGGGGAAAATAAAGCCTGTGGGTAGCTTTTACTGTTGAAAGTCCCTGTCAGAGTGGGGGTTCATTTTACCAAACATAGGTCTGTTTGGAATCAGAACCATTTTATCTGAACCCCTGAAGTCTGGGAAGCAAACCAGATGCACACTTCCGGGTTTTTAATCTCTTTGACTCCTGGGGAATGTAGGCTGCTTCCTCTCATGTGCTTTTATTCTCTGTGGTCAACTGCTTTGTTTCAGTTTAGCCTAGGATTTCCTGACATCAGGACACAGATTACTGACTGCCCCGGGTCTCTAATTTTTTTCCATCCTGCAGTTTGATATGACATGGTAGCCCATTTCATATCATTTCTATGCCCACTGTGAGAAAAGGCCCCATCATCTCCATAGCTAAGAGAATTCTACTAAAGGAAGATGGTACATAGGAACAATCCATAGTGGTAGTGGACATGTCTGCATGTGCAAATAATGCGCATGAATAAACTGCAGAGCAAAACTGCAGAGCATCCTTTATTTGCAAATTGCTGTGCAGTAAACTACTCCCGGATACAGTGTCTACATGTGCGCTCAGGTCAGGAGCAAACTGAGCTGGGGAGGAGCAGTTTAGGCCAGGGTTGCTCCTGCTCTGCTCTGCCCCTTACAGCAGCCAGGTGGAGCACCAGGCTCCAGCTGCAGCTGCCCAGGTGCCAGCCCTAGGTTGGCAGGGGGCTTTGGAGGCAGCCCTGGGTTGGCAGGGAGCATGGAGGAGGGGTCAGGCCCAGGCTCTGGGTGGCTCCATTGGTTAGCAGAGAAGTTGCCTGTGCCATGAGGCTGCTGTAGCAGGCACGAGTGTAGCCCCCTGCTGGCTGTGCTGACCAGGAACAATTTACTCCTGGAGCAGCATCTATGTGTGTGTTGCTGCACAGAAAATAACTCCACAGTGGGATAGTACTTGCATTTACAAGTACTGTCCTGCTGTGGAGTTAATTAATCTACTCCAGCCTAATAGGGGCGCACGTGTAGATACATGAAGTTTACTGCACATCTAGTTAGTCTACTGCTCAGTAAATACCTTGTGTAGGCACCCTCTCTAACTAACTTATCTTTGCTTTGGATGTTAGGGATTCTCTCTCCAGTCTCCTGTCTCAAGACCTCCTAACCTTGTGGATTTGTTCACCCTGAACCACTCATTATGTCACTTCTCTCCTAGTATATGGAACACAAATAGACTGAAATGGATGAAACTCACCTCTCCTTCATCACTTCATCTACATCAAAGGAAGAAAAAAAATCAAGCCTTGCAGTGCAAAGTGCAATGTCAAAACGGAGTGATAATAGTATGTAGAGCATTAGCAAGAGTCCTGTAGAGCTTGTAAGATTTCTGCTTCTTGTTGTGATTCTATCAGTGATTTTATTAAGGTGTAGTAATATTCTGCAAAGTGACTACATAAAATGTCCCCTTTTCATTCAATAAATCAGCACTTTGTATGCAACAGAGTTAGAGTGGCTGGTGGTAGCTACTCATATGTGTTTTGTTTTGGGTTATTTTGTTTGTTATTTCTTCACCTAGAAGAGCCTACACACATTAGAGGAAGGAATGTGGAATCTAAAGGGAATCTGGTAAATTAGGGATAATTCATGAGTCAGTACAATGAGTCAGTATGATGAATCCTTGTCAGAGTCCTATTGATTTGTACACAAAACACTCGGGCTAATTCATCATGTGTTAGTTAGTGTAATTAGTTATTTCCAAATGTACATGCATATTAAATCACAGTGCCTGATAAAGGTACTCACGTATGCTCTCCATGGCACCTCTCAAAGTAGCTGATGTTTACAAAGCACTGGATAATCTCGCGCTCTCCTTGACTCAGCAAGACAGGAGATACTTATCAGTTCTATTCGGTGGTTCTATTTTATTTTGGTGATGAGTGCACGTACAAGTGCAAAGCAAAAAACTGATCATTTTGCCTTCATAATCATGGAATTTTTACACACTGGGAACTCTTATAAATTTGTGCCACTACTTTTTGCTGCAGCACATGCCCCTATACATGCACTTTGAGGGACAAATTGTTCCGCTTTGGGCAAACTGTCCTTGTTTGGCTTCTCCCAGCTCCCAGTGTGCTGGAGATGCTGAGACAGCTGCAGGAGTGGAGATGCCAGATAATCTCCCTGGAGGACTGAGCCTCTATCTTCTAGTGCACACTCCTGTTGTGGGTGCTGTGCTGCTTTTTTCCAGTGCTTTTTTTGCTACCAGGATTTCCTGGTAGCAGATTTTGGCCCCACGCTGCAAATTTGCAGTGCGAGGCATGTTTTAACATTTCCCATGTGTGGTTTGTGGTGCTGCAAAGAGATTTGCGGCACCAAAAACTACACATGCCTGCATGTCTGAACATGCACACTGATGGGAATGGGACTGTGAATGTCACTGAGGGAAGAAACTGGCCTATAGGACCTGTATTATTTGTGCTGACACATAAAAATAAAAGAACCCAGGTTGATTCTTGGAATCTGCAGGGTCAGCAGCTAAGAAACCTGTCCTCCCCCATCTCACTGCCACCAACATATTTTATTTACAGATTGTGTACATTTGATATGGAGTCACTAGTAAGTAGGAGTCCCCTGTGGTTCAGTGGTACTCCTTGTCTGCCATATGGGAGAGCTGGGTTCAATTCCCAGATACTTATACAACTACAGTCATGGAGGCACCAAATGTCTGCATTCAGTCTGGTCTTTGGATTCTGTCTCAGTGGCCTAAAGAGAGGGTAGAAAGTCTGGACTGCCTCCTCTCCTTCAAAAAAAAAAAAAAAAAAAAAAAAAATTCCTGCCCAGGCATATGCACTGATGGTCTGGGTGGTCCTCATGCATATGCCATGATTCAGGAGGATTGACAGTTGCCACTGGTAAATAGCAAATTTACTGTGAAGTAAAGCCAAATAGCATTAATTACACATGTAGATGTGCGGGCTGGGAGCGGTCCCAGGTTCTCGGGGGCTTTTGTGGCGCGGGCTGTGGCCAGCAGCCCTGGCACGCGGGTCGGGGAATGCAGGCCGGCGGGCTAGAATTAGGCACAGATGCTTAGCGGTTGATTAAAGATTATTTTACTTACACCGAAGATGGTCGCGGTGCGGGCAGGAAAACTTGCTTGAGTTGCGGTTACAGACAGAAAAGAAGAGAGGCAGACTAGAGTTCCTTCCACGCGAACCTTCTAGCCCAATCCGGTTGGAGGCTCTAAACCCGCGAGCCCGTTGCGCCAACCGAAGAAAACAACTCGAAGCAGAGATCTCTGGATACACTCACACGAAGTTTGCTAGGCTCCGTGGAACTTGCGCGCAGGGAAGGGGTTCGTCGAGGGATCGTTCGGCGACGGGGAGAGGCCAGAGGTTGATCAGACCCCTGTAGCCTTCTTAAGGCATGCGCTGGGTTTAATAGGCTCCGCAGCGCTTAGAGATCTTCACAAGATGTGAAGATCTCCTCCTCCTGATGGTTGTGGAGTCCTCCCTTACGGGGTTCTCCTCGGAGTTCTCCTTTTCCTCCAACTTGGGCAGAAACCGCTCAAGCCTCTTATACGGCTAGCAAGCCAATTGCTAGCCGCCACGTGGGAATAATTTAGAACTGGCCAATAGTGGGACACAAATTTGCATGCGAATGGCGGGAACTCCTTTGCACCGTGCATTTCTCTTTGCAACTTAGAAATGCACCCTGCAAAGAAAGCTCCGAGTGGCAGGAAATAATTTAGCAGTGCCGAAGCACACACAAACAAAATCACACCCTTGGGTTGTGACAGTAGACACACCCACCACCTGTGCCACAGTCTCATCCTCCTTACTCTCAGAAAGATTTCCTGACTAACATTCCATTTTTAACAGCCTTTCATAGGTAGACACTCAGGTCCTTTCCCTGCCAGGAATGGGGACTTTTTTTTCTACCTTGCTTCCCTGCCCTTAACTCTTAAAGCATTTTTACCAGTCCTGGGTTGCATCGTTCTTTGGCATCCTTCCACCGCCCATACCTCCACCTAGGGCTCTGACAGAAGTGATATTTGTCACGCTATCAGCCCCTTGAAAGCACTCTACAGTTGTGTCCTGATAGAAGTGCATGGCTGCAGACCACTTTAAAAGTGCCTGATAGCATGACAAATTAACCCTCATTTAATGAGGGTTCAGATGAAGGCACTCCAAAGCAGAGCACCTTCATTAACTTCTATTTGTCCCTGCCCAGGAGCAGGGCTGTGCTGATGCAGCCCAGCCTCACCCCTGGTGCTGATGTCAGGACAGGAGGGGGAGAAGACAGGAGAGGGAGCTCTGTTCTGGGGTTTGCCCAGCCTGTACTGGAGGTGGAGGCCAGTGGATTGAAGCCTTGCACCTCGGGGTGGGGGGAGGGCACGGGGCTTCAGTCCACCTGCCCCCACTCCAGTGCAGGCTAAGCAAACCCCAGAATGGAGCTCCCTCTCCTGCATTCTCCCTCTCCCATTCTGATGACAGGACTGGACGTTGGGGTTGGGGGGGCGAGGAAAGAGACGCTGTTCCAAAGTGGAGCTTGATCCCCACCAAAAGTCTGAATAAACAATAAATGGTTTAAGAGCCTTTCACAGGTACAAATCATCATCATTGTCATCATCTGGGTCAGGGAGGTCGCTGTAACTCATGCTGCTTCCTATGAAGTGCCATGAGTTACAGTTGGGAGCTGAATGTCTGTCAGCACCCCCAGAGTCACAAAATCACTCTAACATCTAGCTGCAGCCCATGGTCTTGATCCAGCTGCTCTGAAGTTGATGAGGGTTGATTTCACTGGGAGCTGAATATGGACCAACAAGCCTAAGAAAACCTTGTTGTTATACCAGTGTCACCCCTAGCTGTATATGGGTCATGCCGTTAAGTCCAAATTTCTTGGCTTCCAAATTATGTTTTATTTATACATTTCAAAGCATTGACATTAGTTTAGTTGCTGTCAGCAGAATCCCTTTCTGAGCTCTGCTGTTTTTACTTTTTAATGGCAATTTTGGGATGAAAGTTTCATATAGCAGCACAAAAGGTAAAAGTTTCATGCAGCTGTGATGCAAGAGAAGCCCACTGAGTGGTACCAGGAATCAAACAAAAACCCTTCTGGGAATTTAATATATCTCTCCATTGCATGTAGAAGAACTGGCATGTACATTTGTATAATAATGTTAATGTTGTTTTGTCTTAGTTTTCTTCTCCCTTTTTTTCCTAGCCATAAGACCTTTCTCTCCTCTAGTCTGGACTGGAATCACTGTTGTATTTTACCATTTCAAATTGTCAGCTATTCATCTAGTATTTCTACAGCACTCATCTCCAAAGGATCTATGCATCAGTATATGGGGGCTCCCATTCCAGCACCATGGCTACAGTACAAGAACTTAGAGACCATATTCCTATGACTATGACACGCTTTTAGAAATCACTTCTAAATATGGTCTGCATTTTATATTTGAGTTAAGTTAAGAAGTCTTGAAGATATGATTAAGTTGTATGCAGGTAAACACTTTATTTAAGGTTGGGGCCAGAAAATTTGGGTGCATCTTAAATTCAGTGACATCTTATATTTGAAGGAATATGATTAGTTTGGTTACATTCATTCAGAAGTATATCCAGTCCCTCAAGGAAGAGGATGATGATGACAATGATGATGATTTGTGCCAATGAAAGGCTCTCAAACCATTTATTGCTTATTCAGGCCTGTCACAGAAAGTCAACCCTTTTTTTAACTTTTTGGGGATCAGTTCCACTTGGCTTATTTACTGAAGGATGTAATCAGGGACATTTTTCAGCCAGGACATGTACACAGAATTCTCTCCTGAATACTTCATGGGATGTCAAATTGATTACCTTGACAAAATCTATCCAGCAATGCTTTCAATTTCATTGAAAAGCGGCCCATAGAATAATACCTTTCCCGGTCTTCAGCAGTTTCTAGTGTCATTATATGACTACCAGCAGTTCATCAAAACCATCCACCATTTTTCACATGCACAGCACTGTAACACATCCATGGGCCCTAATGCTTAACACTTGTCCAACTTACAACTTCATGGCAGTGGGTACACATAGGGGTGGATTGGGACAGGGCAGCGGGTGAATTTGCAGCCCCCTTTGATTCCTACTCCACCCAAACTTTAAAACAAACTTCCTGGGATGGGCAGCAGCATTGTTATGCAAGCAGTGCTGAGCAAGTCAATTGATTTATGTCTCATTATCATCTCCCTGATCCCATGGGTTAACGACCCTCTCTACTTCCTAATGGACTTGATTTTCCTGTATTCAAACTATTGTTCTTCTGCATTTTTGCTGTCTGTTAGCCATTCCTGGTAATGTCTCTCTTCTATTTTATAGCCCTGAAGACTGTTTTTAGCTGTAGCTAATAACCTTAACTCAGATGTGGTAATATTAACTCAGGTGTAGAAATGACTGACTGTGAAGCACTGGAGGCACTGTCAAGATAGTTTCATAGTTTCTAGGGCCAGAAGGGA